AGTGAGCGACAAGCTGAATAAATAGTACTGGTTACAAGACATATCGTCGCTTAGCGGGCAACCGCCACTTTATTTTGGTTAGCCTGTGACAAGGTTTCTCTATTTCAAAAATTTTATGGTGAATAATTTTAATAGAGGCTCATATTTGTCAAGTTCAGTTAGAGAATACCATTCAAAAGTTTTAAAGAAAACAAGTTTCTTTGCTACTTTGTGTTATTATCGGAGTATCTTATACGTGGTATTACATTTGGCGGATACGAGATATTGTGGGCCAAGCGACGACATTTTCCACGAGAGGGGGGAATAACCACCTATTCTCTTATTTTCGCCTTAAGTAGAATGGACAACAATGTCTGCTGACTGCATAGAAAAACAAGGTTACGGATTTTCCGTATACCACGATCCCATTCCATTAATAAATACAAGAAAAATAATTGCTTTTAAAACCATCTTCTATGTAGTAAAAAGCAAAATAATTTTTTCCTTAACCCGACATAAAATATTGTAGGAGTTTTGTTTTAATATAGTTATCGAAGCAAATTTTTAAATGTTTATTAAAGGTATTGCCTAAATAAGTATCGGTACCTTTCATCGATTTCGATAGCAGTAACGATATATTTAACGCCTTGATTTTAATGAAATAACTACTACATTTCAGTGAATTTGTAAATTCCGATATTTACATAAATGTATTAATCGATTTCATTTTCGATATATTACTACCTTTTCTATCTCTTAGTATACAGAGATATTTTACTTTAAGCCCCTTTTCTGTAAAAAATACATTCTTTTTCCTCAGCCCGATGTTAGATCTTTGTCATCAAAATAAACGTCTTCAATTGTTTATCGAAGTTAATATAGTTATGTTGGCGTTGGCAGACAGAACGAAAATTGACACTGAAGATGGCACCAAACGCCCAACTTGACAGGGGTTGATGGAAACTCGTTCGCAAACTCGTAATAAATGAATACAGTTATGTTTATTTCAATTAGAATAGATAACTTTTATCGGTTTCGATACAAAAAAAATGAATTTAATTACTTTAATTAATTTTACAACGTTTATCAGATAACGTAAAACATAAACGTTACAACAATAACTTTATCAAGCAACGTAAAAGATAAACGTTGGTATCGACCTACGTATTTTGACGGCTTGGTATGTTAAAAATATCGAATTTCCTTTTAAATTTTATTTATTTCTTAATGAGATGAGATTTTAAGGTAGATATACATACATATGTATGCATGTATGTATCCCTGAAAGTATGCATATGGCACTCGAATCATTGAAATGAGAATTTTGAGGGCCCTATCTATTGTTTCTCGTGAATCCATCTGCTGGACATCTATACATATAATAAAATTGTAACAGGTCGATGTCTGTACATTATAGATATTAAAGAAAAATTAATGTGGGGGGTCTTTTTTAAAGCACCAGAAGTCAAATCAACCATTTTTAGAATTTTTGTCTGTCTGTCTGTCTGTCTGTCTGTCTGTCTGTCTGTCTGTCTGT